AATGTATGTTCGTGTTCTTACTAAGCATAAAATTACCTCTGTGGGTATTTTGATTGGGTATATTACATTTTTGATTTTCTCCGCCAGTGTTTGAAATATAAGTTCGTCTTTACAAAGAGTTGATCCGTGATATTTACTAAATTCCACATTCATAACGCGCGCAGTTTTAATAAGTTCTTCTGACGGGTACATGCACTTGCCACGTGAAATAAATTGTAGCCAGTTTAAATTGCTTTCAACTGGCAAGAGACATGTTTCGTTACCTAAATACGGATATTTACATTTAAACCTATAGGCAACGTAGCCTGCAGCCACGTATATCAAACCTTCGTCTTCAATAGTGTCAATAATGTCCAATTTTTCTAACGATATAAGAAGATCTTCATCTTCAACAGACATATTAAATGAACTTAAATCGCAGACAGGATGATTATTATTATCATTATCGGTATCGTGAAAATTTGCGAAACATTCTTCTTCACAATTCAATGGCTCTTCCTGCGCAATATACGGTTCTAATACATAATTGCTTAAGATCGGTAAAGAACTTTCAGTAACTAATGGAGACATGACGCAAAGAATATTCGGCTCGCATGCCGTTACATTCGAAGTCGCACAGAAAAGATTAGAAGAATGCTTTCCTAAAATATATTTCTTTAGCCTATACTGAAAATCAAGTGCCGTTGGGCGATCATTCGGACCTGTACTACCCCGAATAAAAGAAAAAAAATTTTCCAGCAAATCCTGATTGAGACGGCTCGTGATAATGTATCTCATGACAAAATTATCGTTGGAATATTTATCTCTTAAATATAAGTACAGTTGTTCTAAAGATTTATTGCTAATAATAATTCCTTTTTGAAATAATAATAAGTTTTTGTGTTTTCCAATTCTAATTTTATTCATTACTTCTGTCATCTCATACAAAATTGCATTTTGCTTTTCCAAATCGATACCATATGCATTTTTACCCTCGTATTTACCAAACATATTTACAGAATTGAAAACATCAAACCACTTATTACATAATTTGATGAACTGTGCTGTTTCTTCCCAATGTAGATCATTGAGGTAACCTCTCTTGCCGCACCATTCGATCGCAGAACTTGTCTTGTTAGACAGTAACTGGGCAGCGGGGAGAACTTTTTGTCGCTCGGTTCCTCGAACATCTAAATGGTACTGCGATATCGCATATGCAATTTTTAAATCTTTACTGTTTATCTTTAACAGTTGTTCGATGCATTTTCGATCGATTATATGACCATCTAGATCAAATGTTTGATCGAGCAAGTGATTTCTGATTAATTTCAGTAGATGCGGTACATCTGCAAATACAAAAATTAATAAGTTTTCATCACAAGGATGCTGAAAAAAACATTTGTTGGGTGCAATCCCGATACCCAGTTCAGCCCACAAACTCATATTACGCGGACCCATATCGCATACCTGATACCATGGCAACAACCGTATAATCTATGTCATGTAGACGTGCAATTATGTTAAACAAAATTTCTTTAGTCATCGACGAATCATAGTCATAGAACACGGGTTGTTTCCAATTAGAAAAGAGGCTTCTAACCATCGCACATTGACAACTTTTGTGTGGTCCTATGACTTTTTCTTTTTCTTTTTCAATGAATACTTTGTTGTTAACCCATTAACGTCCAGGCGGACACATTTTTTGAACAATTTTCAGTGGCTTAATTTTTTATTTTAATGGCCTTGAAAAAATTCTAGCAACATCATTTCTGATGTAAAATTTCTTGCTCTTTCAGAATCTGCCATCAGAATTTGTCATAAATAAAGTCCAAAAAAGTTATAGTCGATTTTTTGGAAAAAAACCGTGATTTTTCACTCAAATTTTTTTTTTAAGCGATATTTTCA